CTGAGACTGTAACCCCTAATTGGAGAAGAAAGGCTCATCTTTCTCCCACGGAGTAGCTGGTACTTTCGAACTGTTGACCCTGTGCTTAGCAGCCCATCAAATAACTCAGTATGCCATAAGGACTACTCTTGATAGTGTCCCACACAATTGTGAGACTTTCTTTGGATTTTAAAAAATGGATTGCTCTTCTCATAGTTTTGTATTTGTGTTAGGCAGGTTTGACTTAAGAAACAAATACAGTTACATGCATATATGTATAAGAATGAGCTTTATATCAAGAAGCTTTATATATGATGAAAACATCCCAGCCCTGTCCAACTAAAGTCCTCAAGTATGATATAAGTCCAGAAGTCTCTCTTCAGACTCACACAGCCACAAGCAATAATGCAGAATGTAGGAATATCACAGGTTGGTGGGTGCAGAGTCCCATGGATCCAATGGTGGTGGACACTTCTCCAGGGATGCATCTCTGGCAGCAACCACGGCCAGCCACAGCACAGGAAGGCTGAGAGAGAAGGGGCGGTTCCAAGGGCACTCCTTATGAGAAGGTCATGCCCACAGGAGACACCATCAGACTAACATGATTGACAGGTTGAATACCACCCACCCTCACCCCGCCCCATACACTTTTATATATATCTTCACGTTGACATGAAATTATGTAACTGCCATAGTATTTTAAAAAATTATCTGCAAGCTTAGTAATTAGTCCCTCCATTGCTTCAATTCTACCGTTTTGCTCTTTCAATGTATTACCTATTTCTAATACCTTTTTTCCCCCTCCAGTTTAATTGTTTTTTACTTTCTTTTCCATTTAGGCTTTCCTCTGTTTTATTTTGTTATTATTATTATTATTATTTTGGTATGTTTTTCTTTATACAAAATTCAAGATATGTAAATCTATAGAGATAGTAACTGGATTAATAGTTTCTTTTTTATTGTTGTTTTAAAAATAATTTTATTATGTGGTTTTTCCCAACAGCTTAATTGATACATAATTTATATATCATACAATTCAATAGTTCAAGCATTCAGTCATATCAAGGAGAGTTTTACAATAATTACCGTGTCAATTTTAGAGCATTCCCCCTCCACTGGCTAAATCAACTTTAAAATGATTTGTGCAATCACAATCTGTTCTAGTGCTTCCCCACCTCCCACCTTCATTATTTACTTCCCAAATCCCCTTTCTCTCCCTATCACCTACCCCCACCCCTGTATTCCCTATATCCCCTTTTATCAGTTATCATTATGCATCCACTCCTCCTGTGTTTCACAGCAGGGAGACACAAGAGAAAACAATAAAAAATCAAAATCTCATAAAGTGATAAGGATAAAATCATAACACAAACAGTGTGTAAGAGGGAAAACACCTCCATCAAGAGTCAAAAAGGCAGGGAAGAAATTTCTGTCATGGAACTAGTAAGAGATACCTGCATCCAGAACAAATTCAAGTCGCCTCTAGATGGTGGTTAACTGGCCAGGTATTGAGTTTGATCCAGCATAATCAAGATGACAGTGGTCTCTGCCTGCTAGTAGGGCTGTTCAAGACTCTTGCCTGTGCCTAGAGCAGATATGCCAGTGTCTCAGTCTCACTGGATACTCTGCAGAAAGGTTTTGGGCTTCCACCGTCCCCATAGCCCTCCGCAAATTGGGTGTTCATAATTTTAACTCTTATGCTTTTCTCTTCACCATATTTAAATTTTGTAATTATCATCTTTGATCATAGAGGATGATGTGCATTTCCGTGTGGACTTTGTTGATTCCTCGCTTAGAACTTGCTTGTTTGAATACAAGCCTTTAAGATCACAGAAACTATTTTGATTGATAGCCAGGTACCATCTGCTTTCTTCACCACACTTTGCTGCTGGATCCTTATCTTCAATGATCATTTCATAGTTTAATCATGTCAAACATAGTTGTCCAATTGCTTCCATCATCAGCCTCCGAACACACTTTTCTTTCCTGGACTTCTTTATATCATCTCCCTCTTATCTTTCCCCCTTCTGTATTCCCCCCTTCCCTCCAAACCCTTGTTATATTTTCTTTCCTAATAGGCTAAATTTCCCTTAGTTTCATTTACCGAAAGACAGAGAAACAACACAGCTTCAAGAAAGTGAGCCCCAATGGTGACACCCTAATATAAACAAGCATAAGCGGAATATAACAGAATGGCCATCACAGGATTGCTGGAATAAACATATCTTAATAAAGCATCCAAGGCACTGATGAAGCAAGAGCTTGTTTGTCCACCCACCAATAGTACATTGCTCTTGGGTACAGCTATCTTCTGCTTCCTAAGGCACCATGTGTTTTCCAACTTAAGTCCTCAGGTTACAAGTGTTCTAATATCTTTTAATTTATTTTTACCTGCCATCTTTTATTGGGTACATGTTCTCAGGGTGGGGAAGGGCTCTTCCTCAGGGGGAGGAGGAAAGGACAAGTGGCCAGGCCTAGAAAGCAGGTGGCACCCTTGCCCCAGCTTTCTCAGTGGTACTTATGTTACCCCATGTGTTTGAGCTCCCTGTAGGAGAGGCAGTAGATGAAAACCACATAGGCTACCGACACCATGGACATGCCAGTGACAATCCCCTTCTTCATGTTGATGTACTTGACTACCAATCAGAAACTTTCCAAAAAGTGCTGGCAATGCCCTTTTCAGTGAAATCCCACATCAGCACCCAGCTGGGATATCAGTGATCCTGATATCCAGGTGCTTCTCCTTTAGGGGTATGATGGAAGCCATCTTTGAGTTCTGAGTGTCCCTATTTCTAATAGCTTTATATTCATTTTATGTATTACCTTTTGGTGTTTTTGTATAATTTCTAATTTTTCATTAATTTTGTCAGGTTACTCTGAGTGCTTTCCTGGGTTATCTATACTTTCTTCTTCTCTCCCGCACCCCACTTCCAGAGCACTCTCAATTCTTTTTTGTGTCTGTTGACAGCACCTAAAAATCATTCTTCTGAATTCATTTTCTGTTAGTTCCAATGCCTATCTTCCTTAGAGAAGTCTTTTGCCTCCATATATTGGCCACTTGTTTGTGCCATTCTATCTTGTGTCTCCTTATGAGCGGACATTGTCTGATGTTTCTGAGACATTTGTGTGTGTGTGTGTGTATTTGTTTGTGTATGTTTATTTATTTTTCAGGTGGTTCTACAGTAGATGTAGCATTTGAATGTTCAAATTTGGACAGGTTGTGTGAGGCTGGTTGTCTCTCCTGGTTATTTAATAACAACAAAAGAAGACAAATTTATAATAGCAGCCCCCCAAAAATCACAAATGTATTAGCTGACCAACAAGCACATGAAGAAAAAACTCAAAAAAATAAAACAAAAATTTTAAAAACAAAAAATCTCAAACCAAAAAATGAAATAATAAGTAAGTAAATTTAGAAGAAGAAAAGAAAGGCTACCCAGGCCTGAGTCAGCAGTTGCTTTATCTTTTTCAGTCATCAGTGTGTGTTTATCAAGATCCACTATTATGCGTATAATACCAGAGCAGCCACAGGTATGTACAGTGGATATGGCAACTTTTCTGGACATCAGAGGGTGGCTGAGCTAGAGATGCCTTTGTGTACCAGGGAGTCCTGGGACAATGGGTTCCATTCCCTTAAGACAGGTTTATGTGCTCTTCGTGTTTATTTCACTTAACTTTCTCTCCCATCACCTGCTTCCAAGATTCGGGCGTCCATTTTCCCCCCTGTGTTTTTCCATGCCTCTATAAAAGAGGGATTGTGTAGTATGCCTGTCTCGGTCACTATCAATACCAGAAGACCTCTCCATGTTTTCCAGAGGAGGGAATTCTGATCCCTATATGTGATAACCAGAGGGATACTTTTGTCCAGCTGGCTTTTTTGTAGGGAAGAGGAGCCTGAGACTCAGAAAAGTGCCCCTCACTGATAGAGGACATCCTAGAACTTCTGAACCCTACTTCCCTGAAACAAGAGCTAGGTTGAACATTGATGTGTCCCAGGTCTCAATGGAATCCATACAGTAGGAATGATGCCCTCTGTTAATTTAGGAAGTTTGGGATATTGCTTGTGAAAATCGCTGCTGCCTCCCACCCTGCTTCCTACACTTTAGTCAGTGTGAGGCCCCAAGGCCTTCAGTGTAGATCTTCTGCTTCAGAGGGTCCAAGGTCTGAGTCCCACTCTGTTTTGTCTCTTCCTAGGCCAAGTACAGTGTTTGGCATACAGTAGGTCTCTTGTAGGTGTTGACTGAGTCAAAAGGGGCAGATGGTTTACATTACGTGAGTGCATATGTGCCTGTGACTATGTGTCTGGTGAGATTGCATAAAGTTCTCATGAGGGATATCTAATCACTAGAGTGATGGGGAGCCAGGAGTCACCTTCTATCTGTATCATGGGCCACTTTGGCAATCTGGTGAGGCCTATGAACCCCTTCTCAAAACGTTTGTTATATTTACTGAAATGTAACATACATACAGCAGAACACACCATACCCCCAGCACACCCATACCCCTCCAATTTCCCCCCGTGAGATTACCAGAATAGTGTTTTTGCATGCACATCGCAAGTGAAGAGCTGAGTTCTATTTAGCCCAGAAGGTGAGCATGTGCTCTGGGGGTATGTGGTTGTGGAACATGTAGGGAGTACATAGGAATTTGCCTGGGTCTGAGTGCGGTGGCATGGGAGGTATGTGAGTTTAGGTGTTGTGAGTGGGTCCGTGTGCTCGTGTGGGGTCGTTGGCTGTGAGCAGGGTGTGTTGGGCATTCACAGGGTTGGGAATAAGCTGGGAGTCTGTGTGGCTCACAGCTGCAGGACGGCGGTGTCACACAGAGTCCGGGTAGGAAACGGAGGGGAGGGGAATCAACAGATGGGGGAAGACCTAATGGGTGGGTGTGGGGAGCTAGCGAGCGCAAAGGGGGAGGCGGGCAAATGGAGGCGGGAGCAGCGCCCTGGGGGTGGGGCAGCATGTGTGCTGCGGGCACGCGCACGCAGCCGGCGCGTCCCCCTCTAAGCGGCCATGTTGGTGTGTGGGTGTCAAACAGAACCTAACACGGCAGCTCTACTGACTCTAGTCGCTCCCGTGCTCCCAGCCCTCCTGGCGGACGAAGCCGAGCACAGGGCCATCCCGGAGGAGCGGAGGTGAGCGGGGCTCGTGTGTGTGTGTGTGTGTGTGGTGTGTGTGTTGATCTGAGCGGGGCCCTGGGCGTGGACGCCCTTAGGGCGCAAACTCCCACCGCAGGCAAGGTCCCAGAGCATGCCCCTCTATTGCCCCAGCCAGGGCCCCGCCCCAAGCGGCCATCCCCCTTCTTTCCTGCCAGGCTGGAGCATGGCTTTCTTCTGCTCGAGATTGCTTTCTTTTGCAAGACACCCTCCACCTCCCCGCCCGTTTCCCTATCGGAGAACCCTTAGAGTCTGGGGTTCCTCTAACTTCCACCCAAGACCTCTTGTCCTTTCTCGGCCTTCACCCAAAGCCTTTCAGCTTGGTGCACTCCCCTCCTCCGTTGGGCGCTCATTCCTCAGGAGGCTGCTCCCTCTCCACCGCGTGCTGTGCAGCGTCCACGCTCCAAGAATGGAGAAGGGGTCCCTTTCTCTGTCCCAGGGGAGGGGGCTTGTAGTAGGTGTGCTTTCTTTGCGGGATGCCGGTTCCTTGTCCCGCTCCACCCCAACAACAGTGGGGAAGGGGGCGGCAGAACCTACCTAGCTCCAGTTGCCTTTTGTTCCGTGTGGGATCAAGACCCCGCCCAGCGTCCCAGTGCTTAGTGGGGTGAGTGAGGAGTGGCCGGCCTCTTGGTGGAGACCCTTCCTCTCTCCTCATGGGTGGCTTTTCCTGGAAGGGACTATGTCAACAGGTTTTTGTTTGTGACTTGAAGTTCGCTCAGGGCTTTGTAGAGTTGGTAAGCGGCCTGGGCTTCTCAAAAATCTTGACTCGTGCAAGCTTATTCCTCCACCTAGGGGGCACCTCTGGGACTCTTCATTATTTTGCTGCCCTGAAATCTGTTCTTTAAGAGAGCCATCATAAGGGTTCAGATAGGGGAAACTGGCCCAGAGATGCAGTGATTTATTTATTTTAAACAGTTGCCTATTACTGATTTTGCTGCAATTGAAAACTAGGTTGCACTTCATGGTAATATATTTGAAATAAAATTACTGACAGACAACACTACAATCCTCAAGATATGTGCTATATGCAAGATTGGATGCTTCGCCTACTAGTCAAAGACTGCACTGTTATACAGAAACTCTTTAGATAGAAAGTAAAGTATAATACGTATAGAAACTGATAACAAGCATTTAGTATGACTATCAAAACATGTATTGTAGATTATACATGTGCTGTACCATTATATGCCTGGTGGCAGAATTGCTTTGTATACAAGCTACATATGATATACATGTGTTGCACGTAGGAAGCTAATGGATTTGCTACATGTGATTTTCTGAACAAGATTTTTGAACCCTGCTATGTGACACAGTCACATGTTTCCCAAACAGATATTATTTGGCACATGACAATATTTGTCAATTTCTTTCATATGCAACTTAATGATGTTACTTACATTAGTCAAGTTGTGCAATTTTTACCCACATTTGGTGCTACCTTTACCCTCACCCTAAACAGAAATGTACTTTTACTACAAGAGTAAATTTTGCTTTTGTCAATTGCATTGTCAAATGACGGTTTCTGTCCATATGTTGAGTTTTTGATACTGGATGAACTTTTTGGTAAGTTAGTCAATAGAATTTTCTTTGGTCTTAATTAGCTTGTTCAAGATATATAAAAATAGAAGCTTAGTTAGAGAAACCATCACAATCAAATAGGTGTACCTTTAATTCACTTTGTATATGAAGTCATTCCATTCATTGCCTGTTGGACTATATGTATTTTGGGTCAGGCTGTCAAATCCAAGCTGCCTTGAAATGCAGATATTTGGGATTGGAAACACTGAGTGAGGCTTAGGAAGTTTAAGGACCCTGGGAAACTCCAACTGAGTCAGAATTCAAAGCCATTTCTATGTTATTCCCAAACCTGGGTTCCTTCTTCTGCTAGCTCTTCTAGAAAGCCACACAGAAGGGGTGATTTAAATTACCAGATAAATGTTGGTCTGACAGTCTCCATCAAAGTTTACTTCGAAGTTAGAAATCATGCATAAGGTGATCCCTGTCATTTTCCAGACTATGTTATTGTTAGGTGCCACGGAGTTGGTTCTGACTCATAGTGGCCCTATGTACAGCAGAAGAAAACACTGCCCGGTCCTGCATTGTCCCTATAATTGTTCTTATGTTTGAGCCCATTGTTGCAGCCACTGTATCAGTCCATCTCATTGAAGTCCTTCCTCTTTTTCGCTACCACTTGGCTTTACCAAACATGATGTCCTTATCCAGGGACTGGTCTCTCCAGACAAGTCTAAAATGTGTGAGATGAAGTATTACCATCCTTGTCTTTAAAGACCATTCTGGCTGCACTTCTTCCAAGATAGATTTCTGTGTGAATGTCAAGAATCTAAGGGAGGGACTACTTCGGCTGACAAGCACTACATTTAGACGCTGTTCAAGTGTTCCCTGTATAAACATTGGGTTCTCTCTGGTGACTCATCCTGGAAAACCCAGGTGTGGGAGTGATTTTGTACCTTGAACATAGAATAACCTTTCCTTGGTTCTCTGCTTGTTGGTCCCGGTCCTGGACTTGGGTAACTGTGCTGTACTTTTAAGCCTTCTAGAGACAGAACAAGGTAGCTTCATTCTTTCTGCTCAAAGCAATGCAAAGAGACTAGGTGCCCAAAGAGACTGTAAATAAGGCACCCAGATGCTTTCTTCATGATAACCTGGAGGGCAAGTAAGCTGAGAGAAGCAGGCTTGTTTTAACGGCTGCTCCACAGGGATAATGCAGGGTGAGAATGGTAAAGCATCTGTAATGAATCAGTTTGAGTGCAAGCTTTAGCTTTCCTCTCGCCTCCAGCCTTTTTGAAGGCATGCCATCCTCACGACCTGGGGAGTGAGAGGACCAGGTAGTACTTTTGGCTACAAAGGCCAGGTAGCAGAGACTGTCAGATGTGGGTGCAAATATGCCTACTGGCAATTGTGAAGGCTGATTTTTGACTTCCATGTCTTGAAAGTGTGGTCAAAAATATCTACCTCACAGATTAAACAACCAGGGCCTTCCTACAGTGTGTGTCAGAGTCACCCAGAGAGCTCACAAAGACATTGATGCGTTCATTCATTGGGAAAAGGCCCAAGATTTTCATTTGTAACCATGTGCAGGTGTTGTTTCTGTTGGGGACTGTGATTTGAGAGTCCTTCTCAAAAGGATAAAATGACTAGGCGTAAGAGTAACTCAGGGCTTATCTGTGCGGGAGGGTGGGGTGGGAGTAGGGGTGTTAGCTATAAATTAGCTGTTCTTTTTACCTTTCCCTGGACCCTATTTTTTTGCCTCTTAAATGCTTCAAAATACTGCTGTATTGTAATAATGGAGTTACATTGAGAAAGAAATTTGGTTTCTTAAAGAGGTGCTTTTGCTTTGTTTTCTTTAAAAAAATTTTAAAAAAACTCATTTTATTAGGGGCACATACAACTCTTATCACAATCCATACATATGCCAATTGTGTAAAGCACATTTG